GAGAGAGAGAGAGAGAGAGAGAGAGAGAGAGAGAGAGAGAGAGAGAGAGAGAGAGAGAGAGAGAGAGAGAGAGAGAGAGAGAGTGTTAAACAACTGAGAGCTTTTTTAGACATTTGAACTAATATGCTTACGAAATACCTATACGACGGATTTGGATATGCTTTTCTTAAGCGTTTGTTGGTGAATGCAAACACAAAATTCCTAGTAAATCGGAAGCAAATAGAATAGAGAAAAAAAAGACACATCCTCTATAAGCTCAAAGTTGCTATTGAAAAGACAGGGCATGCTACAGAATTCCAGTAATTTTCCATATACTCAGGCATCCTTCACGCTCCTCCAAATTAAAGTTTTCTCTGCTCGTCAAGCAGCACGAATATAAAGGTCGAAAGGGACATTATATATAAACTCCAGTATCTTAGTACTAATGTAGAGTTTGTATTTATTATATTCATGCATGAAGGCTATGTAGGGGTTTAGATGGCATGGATAAAAATGCATGACTGTGCAATATATGTATGTGTTTTTTAGACTTGGAACCTACCTCTGTGTTAAGAAATAGCTATTGCCAGTAGTCAAGATCTGATTTTTTTTTTTGTTCTATCAGAGATAAATCACATAAAAAAATCGTAACTTACACTTTGTAAATTTTGTAACTTTCCATTCACCTTTCTATTGTCTTTTCTTTACATATATATGTGTCTTTCTCTTTCTTCTCATATGTTTGGTGCTTCCAGTTTGTAAAAATACACTTTATTTTCTTGCTTATACCTTCTGAATCTTTCACTTTTTTTACTTAAATGTTTAGTTATCTTCACTTTATTTCCCTCTTTTTTATGCCCATTTATCAAGTACAGAAATATTTGTATGTAAGTATGTATATATATATATAATATAATATATATATATATATATATATATATATATATATATATTATGTATATATGTATGTTGTATGTATACATATGTGTGTATGCATTACAGTATGTATGCATGTATTACAGTATGTGTGTACGTACAATATGTATGTATGCAAGTGTATATGTATGAATGTATGTAAAGATTTCTTAGCTTTAACACGAATATAATTGAAATATTTATTCACATGCACTATGAATTGTAATTATATTCGTAAAAAAAAAAAAAAAAAAAATGCATAATATATAGTAGGTTCGTAAACAACTCACGAACATTCATTTCATATAAAAACTGCTGCTTTGATTTCCCATGTTTTGTTTATTTACTCATCGTTATTCTAATTCATCATATTTTTTTCCCTTTTTTCTAAAATAGAGGGAAAATTGTATGTCACGAGACAATTTTTTCAAGACCTTGGAGAATAGTTCCTTTTCTGAAGGATTTAAGCCCGTCGCCCCTATGTCTGTTTCTCGTGGTATCCTTGTAATAAATAATTTTTTCTTCAAAATTACGTGACTGCGTAATAACCCTTTTCGTCCATAATTAGTTTTTTTTTTTTTTTTTCTAAGTATCGATTTAATTATTAATACCCTTAGTTGCCGTTACATGAGACAGAAAAAAACTAGTGTGAATAATATAGATATATATATATATATATATATATATATATATATATATATATATATATAAACACACACACACAAACACACATACGTAAATATGTGTGTGTATGTATGTTTGAATGTATGTACGTATGTAAGCAAGTATATATGTATGTATGTATGTATGTATCTACAGTATGTATGTGTATCTATATAAATAAATTAGATGCATATATACATATATGCATATATATATAATATATATATATATGTATGTATGTATGTATGTATATATATATATATATATATATATATATATATATATATATATATATACACACACACACACACACACACACACACACACACACACACACACACACACACACACACACAATATATATATATATATATATATATATATATATATATATATATATACATATATACATACATACATACATATATATAATATATATATAGATAGATAGATTAGATAGTTAAGAATATCCAGGAGGTTGAAAGGCGCGTTGATGAATTACTGCCAAGGAAATATACCACACGCAGGAGATTGCAACTGTTGACTCCAGCAAAAGACATCTAGTTTTTAACTGCATGTGTTCGGGCATGTTCGCTAAAGGGGATCGTTGCCTTTGTTAACCTGAACACAAGAATAGTTTCACACCAAGTTTGAATTCATGGTTTATGACTTAACGTTGTTCTCAACCAAATCAAAAGTCTCTATGTCTGTACAAGTTAAAATATCTGTAAAGCATGTAGACATGCACCAAAGAAATCTATAGTTTCATTGTTGCATAAGATGTATTCATATGGAATCGAATTCTGTGAAGTTTCAGCACGCAAGGCGATGCCAACACTTTAACTTGAAAGTATCTATTTCTGTTCCAGCTGGATGATGGAATTATTGAAAGCGCCGCCAACGTCAACTCCGAGAACGAGCTGTGAAGGGAGCAGGAGACAAGGCCCCTTGGAGAGCTGCGAAGGTCAACGGCGAGCCGACACACACACGAATGATTATGGAAATCGTGTCTTTACAAAGATGTTATCCAGTCTTGCGAGATTAGCTTTCTAGTAGAATAATTAGCGAGTAAAACAAAGACTGATAAGAGCAACTTGAGCTGCATAAAAATGAAGGCTGTTAGTATAAGATACAAACGTTAGGAAACAAAATTGGAATATAAAACAGGCGATTGTCTGCTTAGCGAGAGAGTTCGTAAAGAAAAAGACAGGAAAAGAAAATAAGGAGCTTCTCGACCGACAATCAAGATGGTGCTTACCAGCAGAGATTTCATAAACGCCTTTTTCTCACTAAGAATCATAGCAGTCCGACGATCCATTGAAAACACGTCGGTTCATCGAGTCAGATCTTTGCACAGCGACATCCATGAAACACACACAAGGGCCTTTTGATAACTGTTCCATTCATCTCGAGGTATCAATTACCAACCATTATCTATACATGTTCAACTTGCTATTGATCATATATAAATGTTTCTCAATTTACGTGTACACCTTCAGTTAAAATGGCGTTCTCTTTTTACTCTTTCCGTTCTTCCTGCGCGGGAAGACTTGAGCTGGCGGTTGACTTCGACTTTCCAGGGCAGTCAAGTGGACGAATGGAGGGTAGAATCCACTACACTTTTGCCACAGGGTTCTCGGGCATGGGGAAGCAGCGATTGGAAATCTAGGGAAAGTACGTAAATAAATAGACGAAGGGAATATTTCCTCCTTTTCACCCACGCTGCAAATAGAGTCTAGTCTTCTTTGAGCGATAAGTTTCCAATTGTGGATTTTGAGAATCATAGCGATCCTTAACCATCGGAGAAGTGAAATGAATCAAGGGAAAAGACGAACAAAGTTGAGAGGAGACAGAAAACATACATGTAACTTCATCAGATTTTAGACTCATTCTCCCTGAAAAAGTAAACCTTCCTCCCAGTAAAACATACATTGCATACTCATGCTAGATCTAGTACATGGAAAAGAGAAAGTACATAAGAAAAACAAATAAACAAAAACAGAAACAAGAATGAGGGAGAACAAGATCACAGTTCATGGAAAAATAATTAATTTCTTCCATCGAAATGCCTGAATCCTTAGGTTAACCCAGTCCTGCTAGTCTTCAATAACACAGTGAAGGATATGTTTTACCGTTTTTAAGTCCTTGTATCGCCATGAAGAAATAAAATAGTTACATTTTCGATCTGTTTCCATTTCCAACAACCTTAGAAACATTCTTACGAAAAAAAACTATATTATCTGGTCTCCCAACCTATGCTATGCTACAGGCACCCGAAATTGATCATTAAAAGCCTACCCAGTATTTTATAGCAGTTTTCACATGCATGAGAACGAATACAGTGAAATTTCGAAAGTAAATATGATAATAAATGACATACAAAAAAAAGAAGAAATTTCGGCAGTACAGAAACGAGATACAGATAGCTGGACACATATTCGGAAAGGTATTTTAAAACGCACGTAGAGATTCGAAGCAATCCTAAAATTACTTTCATTTCCCCGGAGAAACAGCAGGTTTTCTTGATCAGTTCAGCCAATTCAAATATCGTTACTAGAATACATTTACATGTTTTTTCTTATTTATCATATTCACATTTTCTCCTAAAAATGTGTTAGATATTTATATATATATATAAATTAATCTCAAAGATTATCAGCTCTATCTGCAACGCCAAATCGTTGCAATTATGTCGAGTTAGTGGCCCCCCCAATCCCTTGCCCGTTGTGGGGAGACAGAGACTGAGGACCCCCTTGGACCTCAACTGATTTTGCACGGTCTTTTCTTCCTCTTTCTTTCCCTTATCTTCCCCAACCCTATCCAATTCCTAAGGTGTAAGGGTCGTGTTGAAAGGATGAAAGGCTGACCTTGCGCCAGTCATGAACGGACTCAGGGAGCCATGGGCACGGTAATCCTTGGTAAATCATTTAACTCTTACCCTTTATGGTAACTCTGAGGGGTGGACCTTTTTACCTTCCCCACATATGTCAGCCTTACCATGGCCAGTAAGGAAGGTTTTGTACCCTTACAAGGGCATTGAGGCTTGCCCCTTTAACAACTAGCCTCGGAATCTAACTCCTCTAGTTTACCGACCCCTGACTCGCCTTTGACCACGGTTCCGACCACTGTTAGTACACCTCCCTCCTCTACACATACTACCAACCCGAATCCCGAATCATCTACCCAGGCTGCAACTCAACCCTTGAAAGACATCTCATCCTCACTCCCAACATCTTCCAGTCCACTTCTTGAACAATCATTTTCACGTTCTACCTCCTCTCTTATTACAACTCTTCAACCTTATCGTCCACACCTCCGTAATACACCACTCCCTCCTCCACCCATCCTCGTCGCTCTACACTTCCTCAAACCTTTTGAGAAATCTCTTTAGACCAGCTAAGTGGGACCGATTCTCTATAGTTCTCCCAACAGCCCCTCAATCCCATAATACCCTACTCTTTCCTCCCAAAACAAGTAGGCAAAGTTTTCTTTCGCAGTCGTCCTAATTGCTCAGGTTTCATCACAGTTAGATCTGAGATTCAAGTCCAAGCACTATCTACCCTGGTTGACCTCATTGACAAACCTATACCTGTTCTACCTCACCCCTCCCTTAATACATGTACTGGAACTGTTTCCCTTTCCTCAATTGATTGCCCTATGAAAAAACTGGACAGACTGTGAAAACGACCTGCTTAGTTGCCTCACTGAATACGATGCTGTAGCAGTAGAATGCTACTCTATTCCCCCCAGAGGCAATCGTAAGCCACCATCAATATTGCCGTTTACTTTTCGTAGACATGACTTTCCCCATAAAGTCTATATAGGATCGGAATCTTCGGATCATATCAACCCCCACCTCGTCAGTGTCAGAAATGCTGGCGTCTTGACCAGCCTGCAAAGCAATATCGGTCCACAGCCGCTGCCCACTATGTGCTCAACCTGGTCATGTCCGCTCAAACTAGGTCTCAATCTACGAGAGGCTAGACAAGAAGAGTGAGGACAAGGTTTTTCCATCACTACTTACTCCAATACCTTACTTCAGACCACTCTCATCCACTCTACCCAAGTGGCCTCTACATCTTCATCACCACTTTCCCCTGTTCCTATACTTCCCACCACTTATTCCCCTATCTCCCGGTCAAATCCTTCTTCCATCCTCAATCCAGACACTCCAATATCCACAGCTTCCCCTATGTCCCTTCGTACTTCACACCTTATCTATCACATCAGACAACCCAAACGTCCCACCCCATCCTCTCGTACCAGATCCCATCCCACACCTACACCCTCAAAGCCCCAGAAGTCGATCTCCTCTTCACCTCCCCATAAAAGATCCTTCTTTTCCCAAACCTCCCCACCCAGATCATCCCCAGAATCCTTTGAGGACGCTAGAAACTTCCTATGTATGACACAAGAGAAAGTTCCTCCCTCTTAGCCATCCATCAATTTCTCTACCCAGATTCCGGCTGCATTCAATGTGACCGCCGAAATCCATCCTCCCCTCCTCCTCGCATTCCCCCTTGATCCCACCTTGATGAACCTCCAGATACTTTACCTTCACCTCCTTCCCCTGATCCCACATCCCATGATGAATTTCTTGATACTACACTGTCACCTCCACCCTCTGATCCCATACCTCAAACCCCACACACTCCTCCTCCTACCTCTCAGGCATCCATTTCTACCCATACAGCTATCTATCCTCCTGAACATCCTCCAAACCAATCTCTGCAGTCTGGCGGCGGATCCATAAATGATCAGGAAAACATCCTCCTCATCCTGCCCCCGTTCTCCAAATTCGTAATAACCTCATCTGACTCTCTTCAAGTAGCTACTGAACCTTTTTATTTTTTTTTTATTTATTTATTTTTTACCAGGTCAGTAGTGGCTCTCACCTTTCTCCTCACTTCTTTCTTAAAATCAGACAAAGAGCGTAATCATATCTCCTTTTCCCTGTCATCTGCAGAACCTTATAATGCACCCTTTTCTTCATCTGAAATCTACAATACACTTCAGTCATGCCGCAATACCTATGAAGGCCCAGACGGTATATATTACCGTATGCTACGATACCTTTCACAAACTTCCTTGTCCTTCTTTCATTCAATACATATGGACGACTGGAAACTTTCCTCCCCACTGGAGAGAAGTCATAGTACTATCTATCCTAAAACCTAACAAAACAGGCACTCTTACCCAAGACTACCGCCTCACAGCTCTTACAAGTTGCCTATGCAAATTAATGGAAAGAATGAGAAACTTCAGATTAATGTGATACCTTGATTATCACCAAATTATTTCACCAAATCAATTCGAATTCCGTCACGGCAGAAGCACAGCTGATCCACTAGCATATGTAGAAACATTAATCACATCAGCATTTGCACGCCCAGAGTCAGTACTAGCTCTCTTTTTCGATCTCGAAAAAGCATATGATACTACTTGGCGGCACCATATACTACAACAGCTATTTTTCCACGGCATACGTGGAAACATGTTTTTTTTTTTTTTTTTTTTTTTTTTCCTTAATAAAATCCTTTCTCTCTGGCCGTACCTTCAGTATCAGGTTTGCCTCTTCTCCTTCCCTTTCTTTTCCTCAATTCGAAGGTGTTCCACAAGGCAGTGTACTAAAGCAACCACACTGTTCCGCATAGCTGTAAACGGATCAGTTTCAGCTTTACCACCAAGAATCAGAACATCACTATTTGTAGATGATCTAGCTATCTTTCCCTTTGACCCATCCGTACGTTTCCCATCAACTTATCCAGTCGTCAGTAACACTAATCCTTTTTTGGGCTACCAACCACGGCTTTCGATTCTCTACCTCAACCTTAAAATACCTAATATATATATTACATACATATTATATATATAATATATAATATATATATAAATATATATATAATAATATATATATATATATATATATATATATATATATAT